TTTTTGGGTGGGGGGACGAGTCGGAAAGAGGACTCGATTGACGGGATTTCTGGCCCGGGGAGTCTAATGATGGCTGCTCTCCTCGCCTCTCCAGAGGAGACCTCACCAACTAAGACAAACTAAAGGAAGACATGAAAATTTTCGATATCCGCACCTAACGACTGTGTGTGTGTGTGTGTGTGTGTGCTGGTGTGTGTGGGCTGGTGTGTGTGTGCTTGTGTGTGTTTGCTGGTGTGTGTTTGTGTGTGTGCGGCAATGAGATTTTAAGAGCTTCCTTCTTCCTTTCTAAGCAAAAATTTGTTATCGCCATTGGCAGGCTGAACCAGTGAAAAATACTATATTACAAGGTACATATACATCTATATATAGATATATAGTATATATAGCTCTAACGAGCTATCCGTTGCCGATCCCAGGGGGAAATTGACGGGGTTTTGGGTGGTTTTTCGGCGGGCGTTCACGGCGACTTTCGGGAGGCTGGGGACTTGGCCCGATTTGCTGCTTGTCTTGCATTTAATGTCACACGCTTCATTATTTCTAATTGGCAAATTTTCAATCAGCAAACGAAGAGCCTTGAACGGGGTTGGGTGTTGGGGGTTGAGTGCTTAGTATTGGGTGTTGGGTGTTGGGTGTAAGGTCCTTGCTGGACGGGCTGGCGACTGGGGGGCTGGTCTATTCCCAGCGCGTAAATTTGGCTGTGCTGTGACTTAACAACTTCAGAATTCAATTATGCGACACACAGTGAAATCAACATTATTGATAAGCCGCAAGGACAACGGAAAACGGGGGCCAAGAGATGAAGAGATGGAGACAGTGGTAGGTAGACAAGACAGAGACCGAGAGGGAGACAGAGAAAAAGGGAGAGAGAGTGAGAGAGATAGACAGACCAATCAGGCCGCCAAGTCGCTGTCCCAACTAACCGACAAAAGTTTGCCTCCTGGAAAAGCAGGACCTCGGAACGAGGAGGACGAACCACGACGAACCAGGCCAACAAAAGAAAACGTAATGCGCAAATTATCGTAATTATAAATTAAGTCGACGTCGGTTTGCTTTTGCAAGAAGGGTAGTGGGTAGTGGTGAAAAGGCGCAGTTGAAATGTTGGAAAATGTAATGAAAAATACTTTTTGCACAAACCGCCCAGCCCAGCCAAGTCAGCCCCAGCCACCCCACCCCGTCCCACTCTATCCACCCACCGCCTGACTGGCATTCGAAAATAGATTTTCACTATATATACGTATATAACGACCAGTAATTCTCTGGGCTTCGGGGGAAGTTTGGAACGACCGGAGGTCTTACAAAGTTGCGTCTTCTTCGCTGTGTAAAGTGGAAAACTTTTTCCAGCGCTATCCCCACTAACCAGTTCGCCTTTAAAAAAAAAATGAGCAGATATACTATATATATGAAGAGCAGTCAGGGGTAGAGGAACAAACAACTAAAGCTTTACCCAAAGCTTGTGAAAATTTCACTTATTGTTGTTGCCTCGGGCTGCAAATGAAGCCATTTCGAGGGGGTGGTGAAAAGAGCGGGCGGGTTAGGGGGAGGGGGTGGGTCTGGGCTACCGTTATGATGCCTGAGCTGAGCTGGCGTTATTGGGTCGGGCGCTTCTAATTGTTGGCCAACTCCGGCCAAAAACCCCTAAACCTTCTCCACGCAAATTCTGTGGCCATAAACCAAAAGCGTTAATTGAGCGCCGCAGCCAAAAGTCTCAGACAAAACAGTAACATTAAATAGATACAACAACGATGGTTGGATGAGAATCTTCAAAACAATTGAAAACGCCTCAAGTTTTTGGGATCTGGCAGGAGGTGGGGTGCCACTTAGAAAAATTTACAACTTTTTGGGGCGCGCAACGAAAGTGGCGGCTATTAAAAATGTAACTGCCATTTGTTTTGGGAAAACTAAAATGAATTCTGGGCACGAAAAATCGTTACAAATACATGGAATAACGAAATTAAACTTCCCTTTTCAAATGGTAAAAAAAAAAATATTGAAATATTTTATACAATTTTATTCATTTATATATTCCTTTTCTCTATCCTCGTTTTATACCTATTGACTTTCAAGCCCAATGTAGCGTTCGATTTATGAAGATATACGACAGCAATCTTTAGCAGGCATTTTTTTAAAATAGCCACTTACATGAGATACGCATATAGCAATTTTCACAGGGTTATCTCTGGCAGCCGATCGGTTCGAATAGGAAATGCCCCACTCAGCGCGGCAGACACACTTCCCCAAGACATATCCCGCCCAGGGGTATCATCAGCACATCCCCCATCCGTTATCTGGCTCCTCCGACCCCCGCCGACTGACTGATGGATGTCCTGGCCGGAGGCATTTTCCTCTGTGCATAAGTAGCTGGGAAATTAACGCCCAAAAGGACGGGCGAACGGAAGGCGGGGGATTGTAGTGCGTGCGAAAAGCGCAAATAAGGAAAGAAAAAAAAAAAAAGAAAAAGCGAGAAAGGAGAAAGAAGAAAGAAGAAAACAAGAAGAGGAGGCTGATGCGTGACAGGGGGCGAAGTGAATTCCATTGAATGGTTATAAATTGAAAATGACTAAATGAAATGAGTAAATATTGACAGATTGACTGAAGTTGGCAGGCAATGGCATTCCACTTGCGGGTCATTCAGCTACCCAGTCGTTTTCCTCCCGCGACTTCGCCACGCAGTTTGACAAGGCTAATTTGTTGATTTGCTTCAATTTGGTTTTAGCTTTCCGCTTGCTCCCTTCCCCCTTTTTTTTCTCACCCCCGCCCCGATCTAATCTCGTTATTTTTGTCATTAGCATTCGAGTTTTGTGTTCCATTCTCCGGCTTTTGCTCGATTCCATTTTAGCCCGCGCCTGTTTCGGTCAGCTGGAGAAGAAGCATCGGACAAAGTTTTTTGTCCTACTAATGAGCTTAGAGCTCTGGAGTGGGAGTGACCGAAAATAAACGGAAGTAATTATAATGGCTGCGGACATGATTTTTGGCATTCTAATTGAATCGAGAGAGAGTCCCTTCTCAACATTAGGTACTTAGAAAAATGCTCAGAAACTCAACAAAAAAGTAATTTTCCCTCGTTCTTGCGGACATCGAAACAAAACCAAAAAAGTAACGTCAAACACATTTATAATTTTTGTATTGGTAGATTTATTTCCAAAAAAAAGAACAATGAATCTAAAAATATTACAGCCAGTAAACCGGAATATCCAGGAAAAAAGAGAAGGAGAAATGAATTATATTTGCTTTGCCATGTTTTGTAATAACAAAGATATTGTTTGGGAGTCGATTTGTATGGCCAATATATTTTTATCTATTGATAATTTTTCCCCAAAAGGGCGCTCTATTGAACTGGGTTACATGCAAAAATGCAAATACACATTAAAATTGTTAAAAATACATCAAGTTTAAACGAATAAATAAAGTGTAAATTGGCCAAGCTAACAGCTCGTATACGTAATTTAATAACTCTGAAAAAGTGTGGCCTACTTTTTCGGTTCAACTTACATTAGTCCAAAATATGGGGTAAATATGAGACTAAATAAATATTATTGAATCAATTTTTTAATTTTAGTCGAGTAAAGGCCAAAAAAGTACCCTTGAACCAAATGAACGATATTTTTCTATGTGAACAGTGCGTATGCGTAATTTGATACCATAAAAAAAACATTGCCTACTTTTTGGGGCAAATATTTATTAATAGCCAATTATTTTGAACCAATTCAAGTTAAACGAGAAGAATAAAAAAAACTTAAAATAAAATTTTGTAACTTCAATTTCTCTCTACCATCGAAATATACCATAAATCTATGAAATCGTTTAAAGTGAACACAGAGTGTCGTCATCACTGGAAACGGCGAGAAAGCTGAAAACTTCCTGTAAATTGGCTCTTAAAAATCCATATATAAACCAAGTCGGCTTGTTCAAGGCCACCTCCTCCGCAAATACCCCCATAAATAGACTACTATCTCTTTTTACAGTAATAACAGACAGTATAAACATTTGCCTTCCTTGCAATTCAATGAATACGTACTCGGATACTTGAAAAAAATATACATAGGTTCACCAAATACAGACACCGGGGGCTTGGGTAGTAAGACACATGCCTCGCATCTGATCCCCGAGTTTATCTGAGCATCCAACTAGACCTTCTATATGGCAATGGCCGTACAATAAATCGAAGTCACGACAAATATAAATAATAAAATGTATTTTATTTTATTTTATTTCCATTCCCCGCGTTTGCATTTCAACGTGCTTTTAGTACATAAATCTCGGGCTTAGCAGCGGTCGGAAGCCCGAACTCAAACCCAAACCCAAACCCAAATGCAAACCCAAGCCCAAAAGCAAAGCAAAGCCAGCAGCCGGGAAGAGTAAAATACGCAGAAATAAAATAAAAATAAATAAATAAAATAAAAGTTGGGCGCCTGAAACAACAGACACGAGTCGTGGGCCGTGGGCCGTGGGCATCAAACCTATCCTGTCCCGCTGTATGAATATTGTTTGTGCATATATAATAAAAAAATAAAATACAGGAACGGGCAAGGACAAAACAAAGAGCGAAGGAAGAAGTAACAATAACAAATCCAATATTAGATGGCTATAACAACAATGCGTTCAAGAAGGAGCCAGGGACGCCGGGGGAGGCAGGGACCATACGTATGAAGAGCTATTTTGAAGGGAGGACTGAGGACGGAGGACGGAGGATGGCTCACTGGTACTGGCAGCTGGTGCCAGGCGAGCCAAAGCAAAGTCTGACGTACACGTTTATGGGTTTGCGATTTGCGATTTTCCCCAGGCGCAGCTCAATAGAAGCGACGTCTTGACTAGAAAGGGCCAGCCGAAAAACAATGGGAAGTGATACACTCTGCACTGTGAAAATCGGATAAAAACACACACAAAAAGAGCGGAACAGAGGTAATTCCTGAACTTAATTTGCGAGGGAAGGGCTTACCCCTGTTGTTCTTTCGACAATTTCTAAGCTCTGAAAATTTAAGATAAAGAATCAAGATGCTTACCTTTAGCTAGCTTTGATGAGTTCCAATAAGCTGTGGCAATTCGACCTGCAATATAGATAAGATTTCCAACTTATTAATTAAAGTGAATTACTTTGTTTTAAATTTTTTCATAACGTTTTATTTTAGGAAATATTTGAACTATTGAAATAAAACTTCTAAATGAAGACTTTTATTTTTCTATTTTCTCCAAGTACTGGGAAATTGTCTCAACTTTGGCAAAACGTCCCCTGTCGGTGAGTATAGCTTATTTCGAGGTGATTTTAAAGGCATTAAGCAAAAGTGGCTAACAGAAATGGAGGGAAATGAGATGGTTGCTCGAGCTGAAGTGGATAATCGTCAAATGATGCTTCTATTACATTTTCCTCACAAAATTGAAAGCCCAACCATAATCAAGAGCAATAAAACACAAAAGAAAATTGTTCGAGGTATTTGGAAAACTACTTCTTTGCCAGCAAATTTTGACCATAATGCAGGCTGCCAAGTCTTGCCTTTTGGATACACAAAAGTGTTCTGCAGTAACACCCAAAATCTAATTTATATCACGTTAATGAGCTTTTATGTCAAATTTTTGCGGGCTGGTGGGGCTTGGCAAAAGTTTTTCCAAAGGTCGAACAAGTTGAGTATCAAAAAACAAACAAAAAAAAACCCAAGAGGTACAGGGAATGTGAAACGGTCCAAAAACTGTCCATTGTAAAAAGTTCGCTCATGGCTTATCAAACCAAATTTGTGGCAATAAAACGAAATGGTAACGGAGAACATAGAATGACAGGATTTTGGAGAGATATTTCTGCCGAAAAGGGAAGAATACCCCATGACTAAGCCAATAACCGAAAGGTTATTTAATATTTGGCAGTGGCGTGGCCTCCAAAAAACGGACCCTTTCCTTGCCCCACCACTTCGCCCCATTTTCCGCCGATTTTCCACCGCCCAGATTCTTCGCCAAATTCGAGCCGAGCTCGCACTTTTTCTTTCTGCTCTTTTTCCACCATTGCCACGAAAAGAACACAAACATCAAAGCCGGTGAAAGGCGCCGCCAAGGACGAGGGCGTGGCCAGACTTTCGCCCATTTCTCCACCGCTGCTGCTCAACTTTGTTGTAGTTTATTTTGTTTCTTTTTTGAGTTGGGTACTCCAGCAATCGACGGCCTGCGGCCAAATATTAAACAAATCTAAGCGAAACGAAACGCATTGCAAAGTTGTCAACTCGCTCTGATAACACGCCCTCCTCTCCCAGCAACCAGCACCCAAGCTATCCAGTATCCAGCACCCCGAAAGAACCCCGCCCTATCCGTATTCCTATATCACCCCGTAAAAACCCAACCTCCGGCAGTCCACGGATTTTGTGTTCACGCTGCCTTTGCCTTTTGTTTGGCAGGCGAAAAACGAGAAAAAGGCAAAACATTCGCAAATTTAAATGCAAATTACCAGACAAAACTGATGAGCAGAGTTAGCGTGCCGGGGGAGGCGGCAGTGGGGGGGTTGGCGGAGTGTACAAAAGTATTGACAGTATAGGAAATAATGGCCTAAATAAAGTCGAAACAGGTGCCTCGCACAATAAGCAGGGTAAAATAAGCAGGGGGAAGGGCGGCTCAGAATCTGGGGTAAAAACCTGCGTAAAATGTAGGGAATGAACGGCAGCATATGCCACGAAAAACTAAATCAGAAATGGTGCGGCTGCTCGATGATGATCTCAAATGATAGCTTAAATACACATACCGTGGAATCCTGAGTAACAAAATATAAGTGTAATAAAAAATATGTAATTGCAAAATAATCAAATCACCATAAAATGTTGGAAAAACTTCCAGATCTCCTAAAGTGTTAGAAACTATCTAAAAATTTGAATTGCGCGCTCGCAGTCAATATGCCTCACATTTTATTTGTGGCGACAAATCTCGGCTCATTTGGAGCATTTCAGTGTGTTTAGAATAGCGATACATGATTACTCCCAGCTCGGTAGTTCTGCCGCGCCCACAGCCGCCCATATAAGCCCACAAACACACACACACACACAAGCACATACGCACACAATGGGAGTAGGCACACGCACACCCACACAGGGGAAAAGACTTGCTGGCTCGGCACGCACATACGCAATATTTTGATGCGATTTTGTGGCTCGCCAAATGATTTCGCTGATGTTCATTCTACAGACCCCATTTCGGGGGCTCTCGAGGGGAGGGGCGGGCCCCTGGGGGGAGAGGGGCGTGGCGGGCAGACCGGGAAGACTGGCAAAGGGAACAGCAGACAGGCTTTGGGATTTGTTGCCATCTGACAACATGACAAAGTTCTCCGGCAGCCCGGAGATTTGGGCCGTACGTAATACGTAGGTGGGTATATTTAGCGACCAGGTTTTCGCTCAGTGTTTACCCACTGTTAACCCGACATCCGCCCCCCGAACATTTTTGCTCCACCATTCATGTTGGTCAGATCCCGACGAGGTTTTCCGCGGCATTCGTTTGTTGCCCCGCCATGGAAGCCTGCGGTTCGCAACCCACTGCAAAGGGTCACAGAATGAATGCATATTCCGTACACCTCCATTTAGTGACACAAATGTTGGGCTTTCATCCTCATAAATCCGAAACTGTGGCCATTGTGCTGGTGCCATTGTGCCCTTGCAACCATTGAAAAAATCTGAGCCAGAGGAGGGAAGAAAAGCTACAAAACGCCAGACAGACGCTTTCAGCAAAAACGTCAAACTAGCCAACTGAACATTATTTAAAGGCGAAATGATTTAACCAATTAGAGGAAGCTAACGTGACAACTTTAAGTGTCTTGAATATGGCGCTAAAAAGTGAGCAGAAAAGTCGCGCCCCAAAATAATTACCCAACTTCATGGACTTTTTTCTGAAGTATTTACTGACCTCCGAGCATTTCCAAAAAAGAGAAAAAGAAAACTGCGAGTGGGGGTGGCCTAATCATTCAAAGCAACGACTTCCAAATGAGCTATTCCAGCCTTATGAATGACCGAGGCCATCAAGAGTAACTCCTTTATTTGTTTAGTACTCATAAATACGGGTTTCATTCGTTTCGGGTTTCGGGTGCTCTGCATGCCAGCCACTTGCTGAATAAACAGAACATTCATTCGGTCCGCAGCCAAAGACAATTTCTGGCTACTATAGTGGCCCATAACTCAGGCAACTGAATCAGCACTTGACTCTGGACTCCGGACAGCGGACTCCCCGGACTCCGGTCTCTCTGACTTTGTCCAGTCCCTACTCAAAATTCGCAAAAATTTATGCACTCCTCAGTGTCTCCGCCGCACATATTATACATATATATATATGTATGTATATATACATAGTGTATATGCTTGAGCGTTATTACATTTGAGCCCGACTGCTCTGCGCTTTGACCATATCGTTGGGGTCCGGGACCCATATTCCCAACTAACCAAGCGACAAACTTCATGACAGAACCTTTTCCCCCCCGCCCGCCTTTTTACACAGCTATTTATTTATGCGGGCGGTGGCGGGGTAAATTTGCTAAAAATCGTGCGAGACACTGCGTTGAAATAAAAACGAAATTTATTATTTATTTATTTCGTTATCACTTTGTATGCGACACAAAACCGCAGAGTTCCCCGTTCGGAATACCCCGGACTTGGCCACAATGGGACTGGGCCGCAAAGTGACAGCGAATGAAGCCGGCGCAAACCAATGGCTGGCTACCCACCAAGGAAATAAAAGTAATAGTTCGCTGTATGGTCGGTGTTTTTTGGCCCGAACCGAGAGAGCGACCCACCCCTCCACCTCCCCGATTCGCCATCCCGGGCACGCATTTGCGATTAGAGAAAGGATACACGTAATTTTTTTCTCTCGACGTCCTTTTTTACGAGTTGTCGGTCCGGTCGCAATAAAAGTGCGACGGCGGAAAGGTGGCAAGGTGGCAAGGTGACAAGTTAGCGGTTATTATTATGCCAAGCGCCCACCCAAATCAAGCCACCCCACTCCCCACGAAACCGAAAAAAAAAAAAAAAAATAGAATAAAAAGGGAACGAGAATGAGAAAGAGAAAACCTTTTCCGACGACAAGCGCATTTACAATGGATTTGTTTTTGAATTGGAATTGGTTTTGCTTTCGGGTATTTTCGGTATGCCATATTGGATATCCCGTTTTGGATTATTCCCAGACATTGGGCGTCCCATACACTGGGAAAAAAGATTCAGCCCACGAAAATATTTCATAAGAATCTTTTCAGGCTTTTGAGTCGCAAACAATTATCAATGGTTAAGTTTATTATGACCGAACGGAAAGAATTTAATGTCGAGTAATGATGAATCAATCCGAATTTTTTCCAAGCGTAATCTCATGCGTTACTCCCATTGCCATTGGGTCGCATTGATGGCGCTTTTAATGGCCTTGTCTGTGGCACTTCGACGGGGTTCCTTTCGGTCGGGGTCACCGGGTTCGGTTGGGGGTGGGGGGTTGGGTCGGGTCAAATGTTACGATGGCAGCAATGCTAAGAAGTCGCACTAGGCAGCGCAGACAATGGGCATACACAAAAAACTGGGGATAAATCAATGTTCAGTTATTATCGACAACTATTATTTGGGTCACAACGAGGGCAATTACTCGACGAAAAGTTTGCTAAGCGATTGATAGGGTTGGCTGGGTCGCCGAAACCCAAAGATAAAAGATAGAGGGCGAGTACAAGCCTATATAGCAATACATCTTCAAAATCGAACGTGTGAAAAAAGCTGCCATCGGTAGGTAAAATAATACCAATGTTTTTTGCTTTTCATCAGCCCTTTTAATCCTACGAAGTAGAGATCAAACTCGAGGTTAGGTACTTTATTAGAATTTGCATGCACATCATTCCGTTAGCTGCAAAACAAAAACACTTCTCAAGTTAAATTGTTTAAGGATTCTAACTTCATCTTTCGATAAATATGCATACTGCCAAGTTAGTAATCAAGTGCAAATACTTTGACAATTACATTGTTAGTCACGCACCCGCCCCAAAGAGTTTTTCCATTTGCTAGCTAAAGCCCGCAACTCAACCGACCCCGCCCTCATTTTTACGCCCCTGCTTTATACACCGACC